TAATCACAGACTAAGTAAAAATTGTAGCGAAATGACTCCCTTTTTCCCAAGCCACAGCCACTCTTGTATCCACAAGGCCCTGCAAAAACGCTGCATCCTGAAGGCAGCATAGCTGGGAGCTTTCTGCAGCTGAGCTAATTACTCTCAGGTTTCAGCTTGGCTAATTAATTTCCATGTGGCCCTATGACATCACAGGCATTTTGTTTTCAATTCTGAAACTATCTTGGACAGTGTTGGTTAGAAAACCCTCTGCAAACCACACAGCTCTGCTGTGAAATGAGACAGATGTCACTTCACTGTCTAGATAAATGAAATTACTTTTGCAACAGCATGTAATGTAACCTTCAGCATTCAAGTGCTTGTCTGCAACTCTTTCACCAGATTGAAAACTCTGAATGCCTAAACTTAGCTGTTTGTTAACCTGTTCACTAACTGAAGGGTTTAGAGGGGATGTTACATTCATATTGGTTCATATCACTGTCTCCAAGTCCTATTTGACTGAAATTCTTCATCTTTGCTCTTTCCTTAAGAACTGTATATTTGAGTCTGATTGCAATCCATTAACAAATTAGGGTGGAAAAACAGACTAGTTCTAAAGAGACTTCCACAGATTTCTGGAGAGACTTTAGAAGCTGAAGTGGCTGAGGCAGCGAGTGGATCTGTGTATCCTCTTTCTCTCACATCAACTTGGGAAAGTGTAAGCTGTCGTTTGCCTGGCTAAAAGGTATTTTCAGCAAATTTTCATTTTTTCCAGGGGAATTTGCTGTTGAATGTATTGCTTAGACGGTCTCAGCCCCTTGGATCTCTTCAGAAGAGTGATCAACATCCTGAGTGAAACTGGAGCTCGTGTAGGAGCATCTCCAGTGCTTGGAGAACCCCAGGGTCGGCAGAACAGCGAGTAAGTGTTACACCTCTGCTGAGTTCTGTTTACATCACAGCAATCAAGGCAAACCAAACATCTTTGTTGTATTTACCCTCATTTCCACAGCCAGGAGTGAAGGGAGCACAGAGGCTTTCTGATTTAGGAGAAACACAACCCTCTGCCTGCTCTTCAGTGGAGAAAGGGATAAATAAGGGAAATCAGAGAATCCCAGAATGGACTGGGTTGGAGGGACCTCAAAGCTCATCTCAACCCAACTCCCTGCCGTGGGCAGGGACACCTTCCACCAGCCCAGGTTGCTCCAGCCTGGCCTTGGACACTTCCAGGGATGGGGCAACCACAGCTTCTCTGGGCAACCTGAGCCAGGGCCTGCCCACCCTCACAGGGAAGGATTTCTTTGTAATACCTAATCTGAACCTGGCCTCCACCATCTTAAGGATATTCTCCCTTGTCCTGTCTTTCACGTGCTCTTGTGAAAAGTCCCTCTCCAATGGAAATCCAGCTCAGGAGCTGGAAACAGTGATCAAATAATGCACTAATCAGCCTTCTCCTCTGCAGGGCCTGACTCTTCACTGTGTAATGGCTTCCCAAGGAGGTGCACGTGTGTTTAGCATGGTGAATCCAACCTGACCTGTTGGAGAAGGCCCAGATCCCACTCCTGTCCCACCTGCCAGCCCTGGGTGGGTGCTGCAGGAGCTTTGGAAGGTCTTGCCAAGTGGCTGTGTTTAGATAGGTTGTGTCCCACCATACACCTGTCAGCCTCTGCTCTGGTTTCTCTATCAGTGACAAAACTCCCTGGATGTCCTGCCATCCTATCCCAGAGGGGACAAACCAGGCCAAGCTTTACTGCTTCTGAAAACCTCACCTCCCACCTCCCTGTGCCCACCCAGGTTTTTGCCATACCTGTTCTTCCAATATAACCCTGCCATGTCTGGAAAGAACAGGATCTACCTGAGGGGACTCTGCACCGCAGATCACCCAAGAAGCATCTTCTGCTGTGATCTGAGCTCTCAGTGGGGAGCTGATTATTCATGTTTTGTTTGCTGCTTCAACTTATTTTTAGTTGACAGAAACAGCTGTGAGGGGGAGAAGAAATAAGGAACAAAAGCCGACAGCACGATTAACTTTTTAACTCAAAACGCTTCTCAATTAAAAGCAGCTAAATATTCCCTGCGCTCCTGATGCCACTTTTCCCTGTCGGCAGCTGCCGTGCTCCCCAGGAACATGGTGCAGTTCCACAGATGGAGGAGGTGGAGCTGCCTGGGAGAAAGGCTGATCACAGCTGCTGGTCCCCTCACAGGAGTGGGGGGCAATGCACGGGGTGCCAGCCCAGCATGGCCACAAGAAGCCACCAGGCCTCCTGAGCTCAGCCTCTCCGACCATAAAGTGAGATCCCTGGTGAGATTCCAAAGCTATCCCAATCCCAAGGGTGTGGGTGCAGAGAAGCAATCACAGCTTCATGTCCTAACACTGAAAAGTGCTTGTGAAATCCTCTAACAAGTCTCATGAATGCTACCAGAAGAAGCCTCAGCTCTGCTGGGATTGACAATGTTTATCCAAGGTACAGCGTTGGGAAAGTTTTCAGCCACCACAAACTGGGGCACAGTCCCACAAAACAACAGCTCCTCTTCTCACTGCTTTACGTCTTGTTAGAGTTAAGACTCACAAAAGTCTTCAGATGGGCAGATTCAATATCTGATTTTGCTTTGTTTGCCTTCCAGCCTTTTCAATACACCTCCTTATGCCCCTCTGCCCTTTGCCTTGGGAGGATCTGGGCTTTCCTCTAAATCCTGCACTCAGGGTCGAACTTTGACCCCCAGTTGTCTGCATAATCCCCCCTGCCCTCACACAAGGCCAGGCAGGGGCAGGAGCAGGGCCATGTGCTGGGGAGGGACAGGGCGATGCTGCAGCTCAGGACACCAGGAATGGCCTCTGCCTGGGCAGCCTTGCTCCTTCCTCCAGCCAGAATCCCAGAATGGTTCAGCTTGGAAGGGACCACAGTGGGGCATCTGGGTCTGCCTCCCTGCTCCAGCAGGGTTATCCCAGAGCACATGGCACAGGATTGTGTCCAGGAGGTTCTGGAATATCCCCAGTGAGAGACACTCCACCCCCTCCCTGGGCAGCCTGTTCAGGGCTCGGTCACTGCACAGCAAAGTTCTTCCTCCTGTCCAGCTGGAGCTTCCTGGGCAGCAGTTCCTGCCCGTTCCTCTTGTGCCATTGCTGGGCCACCTGAGCAGAGCCTGGTCCATCCTCTGCCCCCTCCCTGCAGCCCCTGACACACCCTGGGGAGATCCCCAACCTTGTGTGCTCTGGAGGCTGAGCAGCCCCAGCTCCCTCAGCCTTTCCTGATCCCATCAGCATCTTCCCTCTGTGGAGCTGTTAGAGCAGGTCCAGAGGAGGCCACAGAGATGCTCGAAGGCTGGAGCCCCTCTGCTCTGGAGCCAGGCTGGGAGAGCTGGAGGGTTCACCTGGAGAAGAGAAGGACCCAGGGAGACCTGAGAGTCCCTGCCAGTGACAAGGGATGGAGGGACAGGACAAGAGGATTGGCTTCCCACTGCCAGAGGGCAGGGTTAGATGGGATACTGGGAAGAAATTTTTCCATGTTAGGGTGGGCAGGCCCTGGCACAGGTTGCCCAGAGAAGCTGTGGCTGCCCCATCCCTGGAAGTGTCCAAGGCCAGGCTGGATGGGGCTTGGAGCAACCTGGGCTGGTGGAAGGTGTCCCTGCCCATGGCAGGGGGGTAGAAGTGGATGGGGCTTTAATGTCCCTTCTAACCCAAACCTGCCTGTGATTCTGTGATCTGCTCCAGGAGCCTGGTGTTTCCCTTGTCCTGAGGAGCCCAAAACTGGACACAGCACTCCAGATGTGCCCCCCAAGGCTGAACAGAGGGGCAGGATCTGCTCCCTGACCTGCTGGAAATGCTCTTCCTCACACACCTGAGGATGCCCAGCCTTGGCTCCAGGGCTGGTCAGGGACACCTGGGGGACACCGGGACCCCCAGGGCCTTCTCTGCAGAGCTACAGCCCAGCAGGCAATGCCCTCTGTTATAAGTTAGTATAAGAATTTAGACAACTCAATTCCAATTAAACATTGATAAATTTATTAAGCAAGCGATAATAAAGCAAAACAGCGCTGGGTGGCCTGGAGGGCAAGTGCCCTGCCGAGGCACACACCAAAATGTAGTAAATGTTCCTTTTTATACATTTCCAAGTCCCGAGTTTTGAATGCGGCTGCGTTGAGGCTTGAGTTCGTGGCTCATTGCTAAGTGGTCATCTGGCATTTGTCAGAGATGAAAAGGTGCAGTTCTTATCAGTTGTAAATTTTACTGATACTGATACTTGTTTGTTTAGCAAGATGTCTGCAATTACTTTTACTGACACTTGCTTGATTAGCAGGATGTCCATGAAACTTATCTTGTTGAATTATAACAAAAGTTCCTTATTCCCTCATACACATAAGATTTTATGAACAAAGTTAACCCTTCTATTACACCCTCCCTAGTGCTTTAGCTCCAGTACGGACATCCTCAGGCGCTGGTCGCTCAGGGTGGAAACCACCAGGCAGCAACAAACCCCAGCGCTCCATCAGCAACTCCCTTGGCTGGGCAGCCTCAGCCCAGCGCAGGTGGCTACGGGTGAGCGGCACCGCAGCGGCAGGGCCGACTGCTGCCGGCTGGGCCGTGCGAAGAGAAGGGACTCGTGGCCCCGAGGGGGGCCGGGGCCGGCGCGGTGCCCCGGGCCGTGCCGGAGCGGGGCGATGGAGCACGGCGAACATGGCGGCGGCTCCGTGAGGGGAAGCACCACCCCCGCCGTGCCCCGCCCGCCCGCCAGGGGGCGCGCTGCCGCCCGCGCACGCGCCATCCCGCCCCGAGTTCGAACCGCCAACTGCCCCGATTCGAATTCGCATCCTCGCTGCCCAATCACAGCGCGCGGGGCTGGCCCGGCCCCGCCCCCTCCGCCCTCCCGGCCAATCGCAGGCCCTGCTGTGTTTAAACCAAGTGCGCGCGGGCGGGGGGCGGCACTGCGGGGCGGCGGGCGGGCCCGGCGGGCGGAGCTCCCGCCGCTCACGGCGCTCGCCGGGCGCGCCCGCGGGGCCAGCGGGGCGTGTCGGCCCGGCAGACCCCGCCCGCTCCTGGCGCCCCCGTCCCTCCTCTGGCCGTGCCGCTCGCTACGAGCCGGGCAGGACGTTGTGTCCGCCCGCTTCACGCTGGGTCCCCGGCGCGGCGCTGAGATGAAGGCGGGCGGTGAGTGCGGGTCTGCCGCGGGCGCCGCGTCCTCCCGCGCTGAGGGGCGGCCCCGCCGGGCGCCTCTGAGGGGGCTCTGAGGGCACGGGGGCACTCGGGTGGGCACGGGGCGCTCCGAGCTCTGACTGGATGAGGGGCCGGCAGCGGCGGGGGCCGGGCCGGCAGCGGCGGGGGCCGGGCCGGCGGCTGCCAGCCCGGATTCAAAGGCGGCGGGGCGGGGCTCCGGGGGCTCGCCGGGGTCCCGCCCGGGGCCAGCGCTGCCCGCCCGGGCCTCTGCGGCCGCGGCTGTGGCTGTGCCTGAGCACCCCGACGTCGCACCGGGGGTTCGAGATGAGTTCTGGGCGCGGGAGAGCGCAGCCTGTGAGCTTTGTAGGGTGCGCGTTGATGTGCAGGAGACTCCATTCGAAGCTAACAGAAAGCGGTTTTTCCGCCACGGGTGGCTGAGGGTTGGCAGCGCTTCCCCCCACAAATTGTCGGATCCACATCCTCAAAGATGCTCAAACCCACCTGGATGTGGTCCTGCCCCCCTAGGTGGGGTGGTTAGACTGGGTGATCCCCAGAGCTCCCTTCAAGTTTAAAGAACCCTGATTTCATGAAGCAACACTTTGGAAATTAACCTATGTCACTTCCTGTCTTTGGAAATTGGGTTTTCTCTTCCCTGAGTTGCTCAAGTACCCCCTGCTCCCCAGGCATTGGGGATCTGCTCATGTAGGCAGAATTGGCATCCCAGTATAGGAGTCCATGTCATTTTCATGGCAATGATACTGCTGTAGAGAATACATTTATTTATTTATTTATTTATCTATATATTTATATATATTTGTATCTCTAAGTATACATATATATATATAATAACAACAAATATAAGGAGATATATATGTTATTATATGTAACATTATTGCATTGCAATAATACTCCAGAAGGTGCAGGCAATGGATCTTCCATCAGCACCCAAGCAGCAACTTGGAGATGGGCTTGAGCAGGTTTGGTGTGTCTTAACCTCCTAATATCTCTGGTCACATTCCAAGGGCTGCTGTCAGGTGAGAAGGAAAAGCTGGGGTGTGGGGGAGGTAAATTAAGTTGTGGTGGTGACAGTTAAACCATTTGTCACTACTGAACAGGGACAGTTGAGCTGATTGTCACCACTGAACACGGTCACAGGAGTCAGGGCATGGAGGGGCTCTCTGTGAAGAGCATGAGCCACCCCTTCTGAGCCTCTGGGCTTTGTTAACCAAACTGAAGGAGCCCCTCACTGCTCTGAGGCTCAGTCTTGTGGTGGTTATATGGCTCATGCTACATTTCTCTGGTTGATGTTTGAAGTGTCCTGTGCTGCAGTGAAAAGGAGCTCAAATAAACACCTTTTTGTGTGTGTATACTCTGCAGTGCCTTTTTTCCTTGTGCTGTTCCATCACTAACTGTGTCCCATGTCTTTCTTTTCCAGTGGTTCACTGTAGATGTCCCAGATGTTTTTCTTTCCCTTCCAAAAGAAGGATAATAAAACGGCCTCGAGTCCTGACATTCTTAAACCTGCCTGAGGATGTTCTGTTTCACGTCCTGAAAGGCCTCCCTGCTGCTGACATCCTCTCAGTCAGAGCTGTAAGTCTGCTGCTGCTTCCCCTCTGGCAGGTCCCACGGCTCAGCCCTGCCTTCAGGAGCCTGGGCTGCACATGGAACAGGCTTCTCATGTCAGAGTGAGCCTGAAGAAACCCAAAGAGCACCTGCAGGGATTAGGTTTTTGCTCTCCTGGTGGCAGTTTGATCTCTCACTGCTCAAGCTGAAGGAGAGTAGCAGTATTTGAGTGCTCTGTGCTCAGTTTCTGTGCCAATTGTCCTGCTGGATCACTGTGAATGAACAATTTGGTTTGCCATCTTTTGCTTTAACTTGTTAGTTGCCCGATAATGGTTATGATTAACTTGTGATTAATTAGTTACCTCTTTAAAATTAGATTGCAAAGGCCTGCTTTCCTGTTGGTCCCTTGATTTTAGTAATTATTATTTTGTGTTCCCTCTATGCAGGTGCACTCACACCTTAAATACCTTGTGGATAATCATTCCAGTGTTTGGGCACACGCAAGTTTCCAAGACATGTGGCCTTCTCCAAACAACCTGAGAATGTTTGAAAGGTAAACTCTAAATATCAAATTTGTCTGGCCTTCCAGAAGGGGATGTTTGAAGGTAGATACACAGTTCTTATCAGTCTTCAGTGTAACTGGGGGATCTGACTTGTACAAAGAGGAGAAGTTTTTGGTTTGGAGGCTGAAAAATAGTTGATTTCAGGCTTAAGCTGCAGCTGGTCACTGCTGTCTCTTCAACCAGAGCAGAGCCCAGGGCATGTACCAAAGTTATTCCTCTTTATGGGCATCAGTATTCATATTGGAGCATAGTACATTAACTGAAATCTTTTCCTGGCGCTTACATAGGAATGACCAAGTGAGGTGAAAGGCTCTAGAGAATATCTGTATTTCTAAGGCTGAGCTGGCTTGGTCACTTCCTGTGTAAACCAGTGTGTTGAAAAATAGCTGAATTTCAATAACAAAGTTTGAAAGGGTGACAATAAAAATGCTTTAAAAAGATGGAAAATGTCTTTTTATCCATCGGATTTGAAGGGCACCCATTGCTTTTGGAGTGTCAGAAATTTCTTCAACAGGTTTAAATGCCACAATAATTGTTTTGCTTCCAACTGCCCCTTTGCATGTGTTGTGTGTCTGAGGAAGCCCCTGTGTGCACATCAGTTTGGGAGGGAGGAGCACAAGGGCTTGATGGTTTGATGCATGCCCTTGAGGGTGCAAGTCCCAGAATGTGCATTCTGGTGCTGGGAATGGTTTCAACCTCAAACACCTTCTTTGTTTGCCATTCAGGGCTGCTGAAAGTGGGAACTTTGAAGCTGCTGTGAAGCTGAGCTTGGCTTACCTGTACAACGAAGGCTGTGAGTGTGGAAGCTTGTCCTGGGGTCTTTGGGGAGCATGGCATGGCAGAAGGGAGCTTTGTATTTCAGTGCTTCACCACTGGCCACTAAACTGCCAGTGATGGGATAGCACAGAGCCTGTGAATTCAGATTTAGGAACTGTCCTCTGCAAACTTCTGATCAAACTCAGCTGCTTCCCTGGTGTGATTAAAATGTGTCAAAAGAGCCTGACAAGTGCTAGGAGGAGCCTTCTCCCAGAGGAGGGTCCTGGCAGGACAGGCTCTTCCACACTGGTTTGTTTGTACACTGACAGTGCTGTGAGGGTTGGGATTTGCAACCCCCCTGCCCTCACCTTGGGGTTATATATTTCTTAAATCTGAACTGTAGTAAGATTTTTCTTCTGCCATCTCCATGATTTTTAAGGCACTAAATGGAAGGGATAATTCAGTCTTTTCCTGATTGTTTCCCGTTGTGTGTCTTGGCCTTGCCAAGCCAGGCACTGTGAACAAGCTCTCCATGAGTTCTGTTTTTGTCTCTGGTTCAGTGTCCATCACGGGCCACGGCCGTGCAGAGGTGAATGGAATAAAGGCATCTCACTACTTCAGCTTGGCAGAGCACCTGAATGTGTGTGCAGTGCCCTTCATCTGGCTCTTCATCCGTCCTCCCTGGTCCTTCACTGGAAGCTGCTGTAAAGCTGTGGTCTATGACAGTCTCAAAGCAGAGTGTCAGCTTGAGAAGGTTTGGTTTCTTTCTGCCCTTGACTTTCTTGTTATTTAGGACAAAATGCTTTTGTTCCCCCACCAGAGCCTCCTGTGCTGTTGTTGCTTCAATGACTGTGGCTCAATCATTTTATTGAATTTACTGCCAAACCACACATGATATATCCCCAGTGCCAGAGGCCTGTACTGTCTGTTCTGAGAGGTTCAGTGCTGTCTCAGAGCTGAACAAAACATGGAGAAAAGCAAGGGGGGAGAGTGACTGAAAGACAAAACAAAACTGTAGTCTGGAATTATTAGCAAGAATTGCTATGGTTCTTTGTTTAACAATCTTTATCCTTTTTCAGGCTCAAAAAGGATCTATTCTCCACAGCTTGGCTAAGGTCTTGAATTTCTTTGAGGTGAGCAGTGTTTCTGATATGACATTTGGGTTTGTTTAATGCTGGTGCCGTTTACCTTGATTAAAAAAATAACTCAGCCAGATGCTCTTATACTCCTCAAGTGGCCCAGGAATTTCTATTCTCCTGAGTTTAATTTACTGGTTGTTTAAAGGAACATTATTAACTTAGTTTATTGAATTGTACAAACAGTGAAATTAATTTTGGCTTAATCATGGGCTTGCAGCGTGTTCAGGTCTCAAAGGAAGCCTTCCAGTTGTAATGCCTAGGAAAAAAACAAACACCTTCATTGGCAAGCAAGCCAGAAAGCTTTGTTCTGGCTGAGGAAAAGCACTACTTGCTCCCAGAGCCTGGATCTGCAAATGAGTGGATGTGGGAGCATCCCTCAGGGGCTGAAGGGCACTCCCAAGGGGTGGATTCTGCTCCACAGATCTAGCACAGGGCTGTTATGTGGCTTCTGAAGTGCTGAGGCATCCAATTGTCTGGGCAGAAAAAAATACCAGTGTATGCCTTTTGTTTTTAGGATGAAGGAAAAAAGAAAGAATCCCTGGAAATGCTTGAGGAGTCATCCAGGCAGGGTTGTTTAATCAGCTCCTACCTCCTTTGGGAAAACAACAGAAAGGCTGCTGTAAGTAGTAACTTTTTGTATCACAGCTTCTCACCTGGGCACTGCTGACCAGTGATCCCAGGGCTCACTGGGGAGCAGGAAGGGGAGGCTCCTGCCTTGTCAGTAATAAATCTGCCAAAGCTCTCACCTCAGGTCTCATTTCCTGTGAGACCTTGGGCAACAACTGGAGAAAGGTTCTTAAAAACAGCGTTGTCACAGTGAGAAACAGAGTGGTTGCTGAAATAATAGATGTACCTTCAGGCAGCATGTTTGCTCTGGATATTGGTACTACAGTTTTTCTGTAGTACAGTTTTGTGTAAAGGCAATGGGTTTTTACATCTTTTTACGTTCCTCTCTGTAGATGTCAGATCCTGGCAGATACCTCCAAAGTCTCAGGAAGCTCCGAGACTACGCAGCAAAAGGCTGCTGGGAAGCACAGGTAAGGCCGAGTTTTCCCAGAAGAACAGTCTTTATTTGGTCCTTTCTGTGCTGCCACTGTAGGTTTAGATTTCTCCTTTTAGAAACAGGACCAACATTGCTGGGTAACGTCAATGTGTGCACATGTATCTGCTCTGCACATTCCCCCCTTTGGGAAATGACTGCACACCTGTGGTACAATGAGTAAAGATCCATCTTTTGATGGACTTAAAAGCCTGGCCCCAAATAATGTGTGTGCTCATCATTTTAAACCAAACTAGGAACTACTGATTCAAGCAGTTTGTCAAGTTCACTCTGTTTTTAGCAGGAAAATTGGAGGACTGTCCTGTGCTGCCTGAGTTTGTGTTTAGTGAAGTAAGCACACTTTCTTTTGTGTTCTCTCTCCTACAGATAGCTTTAGCCAAAGCTTGTGGGAATGGAAACCAGCTAGGATTAGAAGCAAAGTCTTCCAGGGAAATGGTTTCTCAAATCTTTCAAGCTTCCCTTCCTATCAGCAAGCAGAGCATCTTCACTGTGCAGAAAGGAATGAATGAAATAATGAGGTGAGGACTTGGATCCAGGAGTCAGGCCACACAGCAGAGACCATTCCCTATTTCCCTCTACATCTCTACATTCCCTCTACAGCTTCTCTGGGCAACCCATGCCAGGGTCTCACTGCCCTCACAGGGAAGAATTTCTTCCCAGTATCCCATCTAACCCTGCCCTCTGGCAGTGGGAAGCCATTCCCCCTTGTCCTGTCCCTCCAAAGGCCCTATGAACCCTCTTTTCCTGAGTAAACACCCACAGCAGAGTCAGCTGTGTTATCCTGCCCCTCAGTCCTTACCCAGAAGTTCTTTATCCATCCCTGGGCAGAGCTGGTTACATTCCATTGCTCTCTCCCATGGAGGGCAGCTCCACCACTTCACCCTGTTGGTGTGTCCTTCCTAACGAGTACAGAGCCATCCATGGCAGCATTCCAGCCATGAGTTATCCCACCATGGCTCTGGAACTGATGAGGACATGACCCTGTGACTGCACACACACTTCCAACCCCTCCTGTTTATTCCCCATGCTGTGAGTGTTGGCGTGCAGGGAGGTGAAGGAACAGGCAGGTTTTCTGGGATCCAAGAGGATCCACCACATCCACACACACCCTGAAGGGGCTTGGCCTTCTGGCTCCCACCTTGGGAGGCAGCTCTGGAGCTCTTGGCTCTGCTCTGCTTGGCCTGGCTCATTCCCCTGTTGGATGCAATGCCATGAGCATCTCCGGGCACTGCTGGCCAAGTCCTTCCTTACATCTCTCCCTTCCCATTCTAGGTACATCCTGGTGGACTGGCTGGTGGAAGTGGCCACCATGAAGGACTTTTCCAGCCTGTGCCTTCACATGACAGTGGGGTGTGTGGATCGTTACTTGAAGCTGCGACCTGTGCCTCGTGCTCGGCTCCAGCTTTTGGGAATAGCCTGCATGGTCATTTGCACACGGTGAGGGTTCTGCCTGGTGAGCAGAGGTGGTGACTGTGATCACCCAAATTCACTCCTGCAGCTCAAACTTCTCCCCCAGCCCATCCCTTGCTGGTAATGCTGGAAAGACTCTTTGTCTTCCCTCTGCCTTGACAGCTGCTTAACTGTGTTCGCATACAAACACAGTCTCTGCAAATGAGGCACAAAATGCAGTTCCTTGCCTCTTTTTTTCATATTCTAAAACAAAGTCGTAGTGGTGGATTGCTCTAAATGCGTTCCACCAGCAGCTGGAGTCTTTGACACCACATTGGCATGAGACACCCTGAAAGGAATAACTGCAGCAGGGGTGTTCTGTGGCTTAGACTGTTACACTCAGGTGAACTGTGTGGTGAGGGCCAAAATTATCCTCCTGTGCTGATTTCCTCAATATCCTGCATCTTAACCAAGGAGAGGTTTCATAAATGAAGAGTTAAGATCACAGAATCACAGATTGATTTGGGTTGAAAGGGACCTTTAAAAACCATCTTATCCCACTGCCTGCCAAAGGCAGGGACACTTTCCATTAGGCCAGGATGCTCCAAGCCCTGTCCAACCAGCTTTGCTGGGCAACTCATGCCTCACCACCCTTGCAGCCCAGATTTTTTTCCATAGTAGGAAGATTATTCCAAATTAGGAACTTTGTAGTAGGTAGTTCCAACTTCCAGGTGAAATAAATTAAGAACTGCAGTCCTGTCTTTCCTAGTCTGCCTGGGAATGTACCTTGTGCAGTTTAACTGTGGTCATCTTGGGTGCATTTATCTGCCAGAGGTGCACAAATTCCCTCTCTGCTGGGGCTGACTGTCAATGTTATTGAACGTTGCAGTTTCATCAGCAAAGAGATGCTGACGATACGAGAAGCTGTGTGGCTGACAGACAACTCCTACAAGTATGAAGAGCTGGTCAGAATGATGGGAGAGATCATTTCTGCCCTAGAAGGAAAGATAAGGGTGAGTATGGGAAGTGGATGGAATGTATTTCCCCGCTGGGTTGCTGTACAACTCAGGCTGTGGCAGTTCTGACCTAAGGAGCTGGGGGTTTATGGGAGTGTTCCCAGTCAGCTGTGGAGCCCTTGTGTGTAGGTGCAGAACCCTCTGCCTTCTGTAGAGATTAAAACTTCAGTCTTAAGAGGCCATTTATTCTCTCACTGGAGAGTGTTTCAATGTAGTAGTTAAAAAGCCAAACCAACCAACCAACAACTACAAAACAGCATCTCCTGCAAACGACTGTTCTAATCACTTTGTGCTGGTCCTGTATTTCCGACCTCTCTTCTCCTTTCTGCACTAGATACCCACCATTTTGGACTACAAGGAAGTTCTGTCAAGCATAGTCTTGCTGGAGAGAAGAACTCTTCACCTTTACAGCTTCATCTGTGAGCTGTCCCTGCTGAACACGAGCCTCAGTGTGTACTCCCCGGCCCGGCTGGCGGCTGCAGCTCTGCTGCTGGCCAGGATACTGCACGGCCAAGGTGAGCAACCTGACCTGGCCTGGGGCTGCAGCACCGTGTGCCAGTCTGCCTTCTCTTTTTGGGGAGATTTCGGGGTGGGTTTGGATGTCAGTTTGCCTTGAGGCAAGATGTCCCAGTCACTGTGCTGGGGGAGGTGGGAAGGGGGTGGAAATGAGGGGGATGGATATGAGACTTCAGAATGAAGAGTTGACTTCAGCCTCTTTGGCTGTGTTGGGCCACCAAGTTGAATAGAAGGATGGAGCACCTTCTGTGAGGAAGGACTGAGAGAACTGGGATTGTTCAGCCTGGAGAAGAGAAAGCTCTGGGAAGAGACATTAGAACCTCTTCCAGTGCCTAAAGGGGCTCCAGGAGAGCTGGAGAGGGACTTTGGACAAGGGCCTGGAGAGACAGGACAAGGAGGAATGGCTTTTTAGTGCTAGAGGGCAGGATTAGATGGGATGTTGGGAAGGAATTGTTGGCTGTGAGGGTGGCACAGGAGCCCTGGCACAGGTTGCTCAGAGAAGCTGTGGCTGCCCCTGGATCCCTGGGAGAGTGTCCAAGGCCAGGTTGGACAGGGCTTGGAGCAAACTGGGCTGGTGGAAGGTGTCCCTGCCCATGGCAGGGGGTGGGGTGAGATGAGCTTTAAGGTCCCTTCCAACCCAACCCATTCTGGGATTCTATTTTACCTCTTCTTAGCTGTGATGCACTGGAGCATTAGCACCAGACTGTGCAAGCTTTGTGTTTAAAAGAGACTGAGGATTTCTATCCTTAGCTGGAACTTCAGTTTGGCAGGTAAACCTCTCCTTGAAGCCAGCTGTGAACTTGAATGAACTATGCACAGGCATAAGCTTGTTAAGATCTTTATCCTATTAAAAAAAAAAGGCAGTCTGACTACAGAACTCCTAAGCTTCATGAATATGTAATTCAATATATGAATATGTATCCTCTCCAGCACACCCCTGGACCAGCCAGCTGTCTGAGTGCACCGGTTTCTCTCTTGAAGACCTTGTGCCCTGTGTGCTGAGCCTCCACCAGAAGTGGTAATGGTCTGGGGACTCTGGGGGGGGGGGCTTGGGTACTTGGATTGCAGCTCTTGCAGATGTGCTGCACCTGCACAGTCAGCCCTTCCCAGGGAAAGAAAGACTTTTGGGGAACTGCCTTGATCCTCCCCACAAGACACTAAGGCCCAGTTCAGGACCAGCTGCTTTATTTCTCCCAGCTGGTCTGGCCCTGGGTCACAGGAAAGCAATTAAATGCTCATAATCTTACAACCAAATAACCTGTCTAAGCTGCTGAAACACCAACTCCCTTAGCACAGCACTGAGGGGGACAGAGGGAAAGTGCCTGAATTGGCAGGCTTTCCTAATATTGTTTCACAGCATCTAAGATTGGGGTTTCCATCTTTCTTCCCAGCTTCCATGATGATGTCCCAAAGGATTATAGGCAGGTGTCCCTCATGGCAGTGAAACAGCGATTTGAGGATGAGTGTTATGAAGAAATAGGCAAAGAACAGGTGAGTGAGCTGGGTCTGCATCTGCTGCTGTCTGACACCCAGAGCAGACCTGCCCAAGGCAGGGGGTGGGGAACTACAGGTTGTGGGAAAGGGATTTACTTCAGACCTCTGGAGGGAGAATATCTAAATAAAATGGTAGTTTAAAACTTGATCTGCAGAGACTCTAACTGCTGTTTGAGTATCTTTGGGAAGAACTTGCTGGGATAGATTTCTCCTAAAAAATAAATAGCTTCCTGCTGGCTATTTAGTCCTTCTGGGAATCTCATGGTCTAATTCTTACTGGCTCTTTTTTTTTTTCCAGGTGATGAGCTACAGCCAGCTCTGCTCGGCTCTGGGTGTGAAACAGGAGGACCCAGAGCCCAGTCCCTTGCATAGGAATGTGGTGGAAATTCAGACTTTCCTCAGCTCTCCCTCTGGAAAGAGAGCTAAAAGGTGAGTGTAACTCATGGCTGTCGGTGGCTCTGAGGATCAGCCTGAGCCTTTCGTCCTCTCTGGTACCCTGAAATTTCATTCTTAAATACAATCAATTTTCTTGTCATTACCTGGACATACCTCTTAAAAGAGCTGGAGAAGAAGACTTGGCTTTTAACACGTGACTTGTGGATTGTTTTGCCACAGGAGGAGGGAAGATAGCATTCAGGATGACAGGGGCAGCTTTGTGACTACGCCCACAGCAGAGCTGTCCTCCCAGGAAGAAAGTCTGCTGGACAACTTCCTTGACTGGAGTTTAGATTCCTGCTCTGGTTATGAAGGTGATCAGGAAAGTGAAGGCGAGAGAGAAGGAGATGGTGAGCACTTTATTCTCCTTATAAAAAGCAGCCAGGAGCTTTAAACCTGTGTTTTCATCTTTGCTCAAAACTGTTTCTCAGGCACCAGATGCCTGAACTTTCAGCTGAAGACTGGTTGGAAAAACTCTTCCCCTTCCCCGGTGGTTATAGTTTAACAGTTATCTCCGAGGTATCTGTTTCTCTGCACTGCTTCAGAACATGGTCAGGGGCTTTGTGGCTGCTCAGCATTTCAAAGTGAGGCTGTTTGCAGTGCACCAACTGTGGTGAACAGCCCACTGTGTTAAAAACACTAATTAGCTGGTGGTTTTACTGACTCTGGGCCTGGCTGCTTGTTTTCCAAATATCTAAGTACTCCTAGGTGTAAATAGATCTTAGTCCAGGTAGTCTGAGGGGGTGGAAGACACTGTGTGAAAAGAGGGTGAACTTGGAGCTCTGCCCTCCAGGTGTGAGCAGACAGAAGGTGGACACTCTTGCTTGGCTTTGTTCTGCTTGACTCTGTGCTGGGTGCCTGCTTAGTGCTGGATTTGGGCAAAGGAACCTTTCTGCCTTCCCCCCCCTGCAGTGACGAGTCCCAGTGGGATCCTGGATGTGACTGTGCTGTACCTGGACCCTGCAGAGCACTGTGGCCAGGACTCCAGTGACGATGACAGCCCCGCCAGGGACTGGGATGAGCCTGCGGCGCCCCAGAGGGACATGGAGCTGCCAGTGGAGCATCTCAGCCCAAGGAATTCCAGCCCGGAGGGGAGCTCGGGCTACTCCTCTGTCAACAGTGCCAGTCCCACCTCTTCTGTGGGAGGCAGCCCTGGAGTTCCCCCCAAACCTACCTCAGCACTGCCCCCCAGCAGTGCCATGAACAGGGAGCCGCCCCGGCCCCACGACCTGCACAGGAGGCAAGTCAAGAGGAAAAACATGGCAGAACACACTGAAGAGAGGCTGAACTTGGGCTTCTTAAGCCTCTGATTTCTTCGTGCTTTTAACTTGTCCAGGATTCCTGGAAACCGTGTTTCTGTTGCAGTCATACAGGGATGATAGTGAATATTGTAAATACCTCCAAAAAGCAATCCCCTTTCCCTCAGCCTTGTCTGTCCTGTTTCTGTAGCTCCCATCTGGGCTCTTTCCTCCCTTCACAGCTGCCTCTTTACATGTCCCCTATTGTCTGATCCTCTGCTAACTAAGGTTCAGCTCCCTCTATGAACATTTTTAGCTCACTTTTGTCATCCCTCCTAGTGATAAAAAAGAACTGTCCTGTCCCTTGCTTCCTCTGAGGCCTGGCACTATGAAATTAATTGACATAGGATCTCAAGTTTCTGAATGTAACACTATGCTTGAATTCTTCCACTTGAAAGACCTCTTTTGAGGTTGTGCTGCCTTTTTATTCTGGCCAGGTCTCCCTCAGCTCCCCTCTCGTGTCTATGGCATTTGCTGCACTGATCCAAGGTTTTTATGGAAAAACCCCAGAGGTAAATGAAGGCTCACTGCAGGTCTGAGCTGCTCTCTTACCTACCTCTCATATGGTTTAAACCTCATTTGCCTCTTCTCTTGTTGCCATGTTTTCCTCACCTGAAAATTCCTTCTGTGCCTTAACACATAATGAACATAGGAATACCAAGGTACAAGACTTCCAGGAGGTGTCCCTGAAGTTAACACTGGAACTGGACTCCAGGGCTGTTTGGAAGTTACTGTGGCATTGGCAACAGTTCAGATACACACAGTGTAGTGAGTGTTTATTGACATTGTTTTTTATAAAATTGTTTTGTTAATAGAGGTGGCTCCTGCTCTTCCTTCCCCTCATTGACTGGCCTGAGACCCGGAGAACTGCTGGGATGGTTGGGGATGAGGTCAGGTTTAGCTCTGAGCTGAGTTCTGATGGTTAAGTTGCAGCGGCACTGCCTGGAGGTTGTTATGTACATGAATATCACAAGGAGCTTAAACCACCCTCACAACCCTCCAGCAGCCCCAGAAAGGCCTTGAATGTACCAAATAACCAAGCAGCAGCCTTGGGGGCTTGTCCACAACGTTTATTACAAAACTATGTTCTTCCACTCCAGTTAAAAAAAGTCCCTGATTAAATTTCCCTGCTCCCTGTGGCTCCATTGCAATTCTCCAGCTACTGCTTCCCCTGGCTTGCCAGGCAGGAGTGTCTTCACATTAACTTGATACAGCAGCACCTCCAACTTCAGCACTGGGTCACATTAAAATGGGAAGAAAGCACTTATAAAAACCTCTCTCGTTCTAAAACTGGTAAAAGTAAAAATATCTGTGGGAAAGGCCTCACTGCAGAAAGCTCTGAACTCTTCCTGTGCAAGTTCTCTTGATCTGAAAGAAAAAAGACAAGGGGAAGATTAATCAGTTCAACTCCTTCCAGGAACAGGGAATAGGGTGATGAGCTGGCTCTGTGTTCCTGCTGCTGAATGCTTGGCCTGTGCTAAAATCAGGGCTGGCTCTGTACCAAGCCTTGTGTCTAAAACAGCCCCTTGGGCTTGAGAGCCACCAGTACCTCAGGGCTGAGGCACTAAAACCAGAGCTACACCCTGCTTTCTGAAAGGAAAGCAAAAGCTACAGCCCAGAGCCTCAGTCCTCTAAAAACAAAAACTACCAGATTGCATGAGTCTGCATTTTGTTATCACCTCCACAGACCTTTGCTTTATTAACCCTTGTTCTATTCCTTCCATTTCAAGTATTTTCAGAAAAAAATGAGGAAACACAGGCTAAGCCTGGCTCTGTGCAGCACTGGCCTGGTGTCTCAATGGGAATGATGTGTCAGGAGGAGCAGGTCTGTGGCATCTGGAGAGATGTCACAGACAGGCTGCTCTGTCCTCAGGCATGGGAGCAGGTACCAGTTCTGTGCTGCTATCCCAGCTAGTGGCACTCACCTAGGGCACCAATGGGACATCCACAGAGTCATAGGCTGAAGATTTCATCTTTTCCAGTGCCTTCTTGAAGAGCTGCCGCAGGGCCTCGTAGTCAGGCTTCTCCTCGTACTCCAGAGCCATCACCTGCTCCAGGTATCTCTGCAGGGCCTCTGCAAAGCAAGGGATGTCACACCTGGATCAGCACAGCAATTCCAGCCACCTCTGCTCGCCCTGCAGCTCCTCCACCCACCCTGGGCAGCTGCACAGAGAGGAAAACCAAACCAAGGCCAATACGGAGCTCAAAGACCAGAACACAGAATTAGAGAATAAAATAGAACCACAAGAGAGTTTGGGTTGGAAGGAACCTGAAAGCTCATCCAGTCCCTCCCCTGCCATGGGCAGGGATACCTTCCACTAGACCTCCAAGCCCCATCCAACCTGGCCTTGGACACTTCAGGGATGGTGCAGCCACAGCTTCTCTGGGCAAGAGAATGGGATGGGGAAGTGACCTCTAGCCACAAATAGTGCATTTTTAAACCCACCAGAACACCTGTCCCTTCAGCAAGGCTCATGAAACAGATCATGGGAGGCAGCCCTCCTTGTTTTGCTGTGCAGAAAACAAGGGATTTGTTCCCAGCCTGCCAACCAGCCCAATGCAATGCCTGGTCACCATCACCACCAGAAGCCACCCCAGACCTGCAGCCCAGCACAAGAGAAGGTTCTGGCCTCAGGTACAGTCAATCCTCCTTCCCTGAGTCCCCTGCCACCAGGAGCAAGGCCATACCTGGAATGGATCTGTGCCCGAAGCACAGTCGCAGAAGGCATTTCACATCCTCTCTGTACCTGCAAGAGCACAGATGCTGTCATGGGAGGAGCAGGGGAGCAGCCACCCAAGCACCTGCCTTTGGCAAAGGGACAAAAAAACCCCACAGGCTGAACTCAAGGCGGCCACGTCCTGAATGGAGCAGAACCTGGGGTTCACCAGGCTCAGCCTTGGGATTTACCCCATCCCAACAGTGTACTGGGACTGAGGGATTTCAGTCACAAAACCTCCCTCTCTGCTTTCTGCTCATTTCCCAAGAGAGCACGCGATTTCTCCTACCTTTCCTTCTGCTCCACCACAGTTTCTACTCTGTCCAGCACGTTAGACCAAGGCAAGAAGCCACAGAGCCATTTTACAAGACAGTAGCCCAGAGATTCCAAGTCACTCCGGCGAGATGGTCCTGATGGGAAGAGATGTTGACATGTCACTCATGAAGGGGAGAACTAAAGAAATCCAAGTGCTCCATTAGGATGTGCTCTGGCACATCTCCCACAGATGAGAAATCACCTCCCAGCCTCTGGAAGAAGATTTGCTGAACACTGGGAGAGGGACCAGCTAATTTGGAATGGGCTGCCCAGGGCAGCGGTGGAGTCCTCAGGCCTGGAGGGATTTAAAAGTCATGTGGATGTGGCACTTAGGGACATGGGTGGCCTTGGCAGTGCAGGATTTACAGTTGGACTCAAGGATCTTAAAGGTCTTTTCCAACCAAAATGACTTTGGGATTTAAATGCCTTTCCAGCTTTCATTGCTTCAAGGTCAGAGCAGAGCCTGCTGCAAATCTGTTTTGGGCAGGATCCAGCCTGGCTTGTAACAGATCCCTGCTAAGCCAGCACAAAGGGCCCTGTTCTCTATTCCTCACACGCCTGTAGCAGCCAAGGCTCCAGATGGAGCAGGAACATCCCTGCTGCAGTCCCTGAGTGACCTGGAGAGGCACAGCAGCCCAGAGAAAGGCAGGAGTGAAGAGCCCAAATTGGAAGCTGATTCCTGGTACATGAGAAGGCCTGGAAAGCAGCAGCGACAGCAATGCCAGTGGGGAGCCCCAGCTCCAGGGAGCACTGCCACAGGAACAGCTCCAGCTTGTGCCAGAAACCCAGACCCACCTGCACCTTTGTGGCTGTCCAGGCTGATGAACTCCAGGGTGCCCTCATGAGGGGTCCTGCTGCCCTCCCGCCGAGCCACGTGCTTCCCGCCGGGGCAGTACCGGAATGCGAAGCCATAGCCTGCCAGGGTCACCTGCAGGACAGCAACAGCCCCCCCTGAGCGGCTGTGGGGTCGTTCTGCTCAGTGCAGCCCCCAGCCCTGCAGCACAGAGCCTGCCCAAGCACTGCCTGCACTGCTCTGCTGCCCTGCCCTGCCCTGGGGCTCTCCTGGCCCATTTCCCAAGCCCACCTTCACTGCCAGCCCTGCTCCTGCTCCCTACCTGGGCGAGGTCTGCTGGGTTCAGGTAGATGTTCTCAGCAGTGATGTCCCCGTGCACATACTCATTCTCATGGATGTACTCCAGGCAGTCTAGCTGGGAATAAACAGAGGGGAGCCTATCAGACCCACACAGACTCCTGCAGCATCCTGGCTATCACTGAGCTGGACCCTCCCCAGCTCCTCACAGCCACGAGGAGCACTAAAAGCACCATCTCACAGCCTCTAAATTCAAAGGTCAGGTTTCTCTTGCTCTCCTTATCCGAAATGCCTTTAAGGTGATACAACACTCAGAGGATACTCAAATTTACAAGGGGCTCAAGAGATGCTACTTAGAGATCCCGACCAAGCCCCTGGAGCAGCTTTAAAACATCTCTGAAAGAACTGGAAGGAAGTTACAGGTCTTCTCTGAAAAAGTCTCTTAGGAAGAACTGGCTCTCCACATACCAGCCGGACTGCAACCTGGAATGCTGCCTTCTCCCTCAGCAGGTTCAAGCCATCACTCAGCACCGACTGAAGAGTTCGCCCCAAGTCAGAGAACACCAAAAACCTACAAGAGAAAAGAGTTTTGCACATGGCAGCACCTTCCTGCTTTGGAAACCCTGCAACAGACACTCGTCCAGCAATCCATGAGATCCCACTTCAACTCCAAGTTGACCTGGGCAAACACATTCCTGATTTTTGATAAAACTTCTTACAGAGGAGACAGCTGTGCTGGTCTTGTGTTGCAGATACACAGCCTGAGTCTCCTCTTTGTGTTAAGTGTAAAGGACCAGAATAAGGTGCCCCCTGGCTTGAGGGGCAGCAGCGGCAAAAGCCATCGTTTCACCAGCCACACAAGGACTGAAGGAAACAGGACAATGAGGCAAAGCATTCAATAAATTATCCAGGAGCAGTGCATAAGGTCAGGAGCCCAGCAGGCAATGACAAAAGGACTAACAGACAGCAAGGGGAGGAGAAGGAACGCTCACAAAGATGGCCCAAGAGCTCACAGTCCCCTCACCTGTAGCTGTCTCCATGCAGTCCAAAGCCAACGCAATTGGGAATGCCCAGCAAAGGCACAGAGTGCCACTTCTTCCACTTCTCCACTGCAGAGGGAGAGAAAAAGACACAGGGCAGCAGAAGCTGCTGAGGAGCTCCAGGAGGAAAGAGCTCAGAGCCCTCTGAAGGTCTGCTCTGCCCTGGGCAGCTGACAGCTAGAAACCTCTCTCATCCTGATTCTGTGCCCAGAATTCCAGCCTGATGTGTGGGGGTATTGGCATGTCAATGTGCACAGCACTTCAGAGCATGGATGGAACTGCAGAGCAAGAATGGGCTCCCTCCCATCCCAGGGAGGATACTGGGAATACCAGCACTGGCAAAGGGGTTGCCACAGGGCTAGGGAAAACAAGCAGAGAGGAGGAAGAGAGGGATGGAGAAGCAGATTTTGAGAGTCCTCCCAGAAGTGCAGGTTTGACACGAATTCTTCCACCACCCCCACCCACATTCTCTGGGCAGCTTTGCTCTTACTCAGGTTTTGGGGTCAATGGAGTCAGTACCAGAGAGCAGCTGACAGAACTGCCCATGGAAGGAGCACAGGAGAGAGGGGGAGCCAAGGTGGGTGAGGCTGCAGGGCAGGACAGCTCCCAGGGACATCAAGACAGAGTGGGTAGAGCAAGAAGGCTTCAAAATGCCACTACTGCAGTGTCCTACAGCACACACTGCTGGGAGAGCTGGCTCTGGGCTAAATTCCTCAGCACTGACTGAGCAGGGAATGAGTTTATCCTGTCCTGGCCTTCTGAGAGACTCGTGGAACTGGTGAGAGAGGAATGCCAGCTGTCCTTAGTCCTTGCCCTCCTGAGAAGCACCAACCTGTGCCTGCTTTGGCAGCTCGCTGGAAGAAATTCTGTTCATTGTATATCCTCCCATCTTTGGCATCCTAAAGGGAACAGGAAGGAGGAGCATTATTTCAGCCACACACACCCTGCTGAAAAGGGCAACTTGGGCAAGATTGCTACAGGACCTTCACTAACCATTTTAAAGAGAGCAATGTGCCCCCTAAAAAAATTAAGAGAGCTCAGGTGTTTTGGTTCGCTCTTCAGTGCTGCCCCCAACAACCACAAAAACTCTGAGCATCAGCACAGAACAGGGGAGTGGCCGTCTCGGGTGGGGCCCTTCCAGCAGTGCCATTTACAGCTGTCTGTGGGTGAAGGAAGGACAGCCAAGCACTGCAGCCCATCTGGCAGCCTGGAGCGAGCTCCAGTCCCAAAGCTGTTACATTAAAGGGAGCCAGAGGTGACCTTCTGGTCACAGCAGGGATGAGGGCATTTCTGCAAACAGGCAAATCTCAACAGAGAGCTGTAACACTTCATTCTAGCTGTCAGAAAGTGAGACAAGTTAAAATGTCTGTATCTGTTGTATTAAAGATATTGGTGCCACTGAGTGGTACCACTTTGTGACCCCAAATGCACACATTTTACACTCAGTATGCCTGTGTTTGCCTATGCACATGTAGATATTCAACACACAAACTAACCCAGGACAGCTGCTATCATGCACAGGAGGAAGCAGCAGTGTTTTATTCTAGCTGGTTTGATACCCAACTGGAGGATCAGCAAGCTCCAGACAACACAGAAACCGTGTCCCAGAGGATATTTCACTCTGCACCTTGCCTGGCGAGCCCATCTGAGCCTTAAAACGCTCTCCTGTGCCTTATCACACTCCACAGTGCTCTGCAACCACAAGGGCTGGGCTGTGGCATCAGCAGACTACCAAGCAAAATGCCAAAAGATGTCAAAAAGTGCAAAACAGAGGAGTTGGGAGCGCTGCCTATGGTACAGTTTCCCATCTACTGGTTCTAGTTTTGTGGCACATTGCTGCCTTTTCTCATCAACACTGTACTCCTCCTCCATCCTCTTACATGTCTGCTCTGACAAAAGGCAGAGTGATTATTGAAGTGCCTGCAAGAGCCCCTCAGACCATCCATCAGCACTGGCCCTCCCACAGACCAGCAAAGCCCAAGAGCCACAGCAGACAAGAAAACAATCCTTCTGCTGTGGTTTGTGAGCTACTGAAAACCAGTCCTGAATTTCCACCACAAAACAGCTATTCCTGGAAATGACACATTTCTGGAGAACCCAAGGTACTGACAAGTGCCTGGAAAGTCGGCTCAGAACTCCAGCTACAATTGCTGTTTGATTTAAAAGTGTGCTCTGGCCTTATGGAGTGTCTCCATGCTGGCTTGTCAGCACAGCACTGAGTCCCAACCTCTCCAGTCTCCCCAGACCTCAGCCACACAGGAGAAAAGTTGGTCTGACATTCCTGAATCAAGATCTTCACCTCACACCACCCAATTCAGTTCTGGAGGTTACTGAGCCTGGCAGATCAAGGCAGCAACTGTCTGTGATTGTCTTTTGGGTTATTTTGATCCTCATATCTATTTCCTTAACGTCTTTAGCAGAAGGGCAAACCTGTACTGAACTCCAAGCACAGCACCCTCAGGAGATTTTATCCATCCCTAAGCTGGAAGGGGCCTGTGTGACCACTCCCTCTGAATTCCTGGGACACTCCCAGCCAAACAGGTCAGGACACAGCACTGTATGCACTATTCCTTACCCAAACAGATCAAAACTCACAAGTTTGAGGGAGAAGCTTTGCTTTTGAGGGCAGGTTCCAGATGCTGACTGTGCTGTGGAAAGATGGAACAGATGTGGTTACAGGAGCACGGAAAAGAGGTTCTGCATCACTAAATGCAGCCTGTGCAGCTGGATTTACTCATCCTCTGCTTCTTTCCCTTGGACTTTACAAAGCATCCTCTGTGACAGTGCCTTCCCAGATCACTACAAAATCATTCTTACCTTGCTCCAGGAGCTCAGCACCCTGACATGCTGTGAGTGCAGTTCTGCTTAAGTCACAGAAGCATCTGGGCATGGCTACAGTAGTGGGGGGCTTTGAGGGGTATGTAAAGGACAGATCATAAGCAGAATCTCAAAGGCACCCCCAAATTCATTTGCTGAGCATTCCCTCCAGCTCACTCTGTGGTTTGACAAGTCCCTCTGCTCTGTATGGATGTTGGAGTTGTCTGTGGCCTCATTTCTCCAAAAGGATTTGCACCCATGACTTGGCCTGGGGGCAGTTCCTCCTCTCCTGTTCTTAGACCAAGACACAGGTCACCCAAAGCTTTTATCTATAAAAGCACCCTCCACTATCAATTTTCACTTTTATCACATCTTTTTAAAAACACAGATAGATGCTCAGACTTTGTTATGCAACAGCTTAAGTAATGAAAGTAAAGCCAAATATCCAGCAAAACTTGGTAATGGAAAAAACTCTCCCTGTACAGTTTCCAAGTTAACAACAGAGAATAAGATCAAAAGCTCCCCTTCAGAAGTTTACAATGAGACTGGAAAGGATCAGCAGTCACTAAATGGCTGAGTAGCAGTCAACATGATATAGCTGCTTTCTTTCAGCCCCCAAAATCGGCTGAGAATACAGAACTGACATTTAGTGCATACTGACACCACTTATAACACAGAACTCCTGCACAGTGCTGCTGGCAATTAGGTTTCGGACCTCAAAAAACAGAAAGAGGAAGTGTGGCCCCTAATGACAGGCATTTCCTCATAACAGAGCAGCCGGGCCGTGGCTCAGTCTTGTTATCAGTGGCAGAATCACTGACGGTGGATGCCCAGCAGGGAATTGGCATGAAGCTCTGTCAGGGCAGGCTCAGGTTGGATCTCAGGGAAAGGTCCTTCCCCCAGAGGGTGGTTGGCACTGAACAGGCTCCCCAGGGCAGTGGGCACAGCCCCAAGGCTGCCAGAGCTCCAGGAGGGTTTGGACAGCGCTCTCATGGTCAGGGTGGGATTGTTGGGGTGCCTGTGCAGGGTCAGGAGTTGGACTGGATGGTCCTTGTGGGTCCCTTCCAGCTCGGCATATTCCGTGAATGACGGACCCTGCCGGCCTGTGGGTCACTGCCAACCCCTCTACGGTTCTGGGGGTTTAGGGACGTCCCGACAGCCCCCCCGCCCGAACCCACAGCCGGGGACAGGCCCCCCCTCCCCGGGCCCCACAGCACCTTCGTACACCAGCCCGCAGCCGCCCTGCTCCAGCAGCCGCAGCAGCCGCCAGCGCCGCCCGCCCTGGTCCGCCAGCACCGTGTCCGCGGGGAGCGGCGCGGCCGGGCCGGGCCGGGGCTTGCGGGGCGAGCGGGGCCCAGGCCGGGCCGCCCGCGGGGAGGACGCGGCAGGGCTGGGGGCGGCCGGCGGGGCAGGGCTCAGGCGCTCGGCGCGCTCCTCGGGCAGCTCGGGCAGCCTCCCGCCGCAGGCCGGGCAGAAGCGGAACGCGGGCTCCACGGCGCGCCCGCACTGCGGGCAGAACCGGCCGGGCCTGCGGGACACGGACAGCGTTACCGCCCCGCGCCCCCGCCGCCGCCCCCGCGCCCGCCACCGCCCCGCGCCGCACCTCGGGGAGCCGCCGGCCGGCCCCGCCCGCGGCCGCTCCGGGGTCGGGGTCCGTGTCGGGGTCCGAGTCCCCGTGCCCGGCCCGCGCCGCCCGCGGACCCGCCGCCCCCGCCCCGACATGGCCCGGGCCCGCCTGCCGCGACAACAACCGCGCATGCGCCGGGAGCCGCCCGGAGGGGGGGCACCGGGCTGTGAGGGGACACCGGCGAGTGAGGAGGGAACACCAAGGCTCAGAGGGGGCACCGGCGAGTGAGGGGACACCAAGCTTTCATCGGACACTGGGCCTGTGAGGGGACATGTGTGGCTCTGAGGGGACACGGGAGCTGTGAAGGGATACCTGGGGCTCTTTGGGGATATCGGTGCTCTGAGGGGACGCCAGGCTTTGAGGGGGCCATGGGGCTCCGAGGCTGCTCTGAGGGGACAGGGGAGGCTCTGAGGGGACTCTGGGGCTGTGAAGGGACTCTGATGCTCACGGCAGTTCCATGGCCCGTGGGCTCTCCCCGCCGGGCTGGGCAGGTCAGGCCACTCTGGGCCAGAGCCGGGGAAGGAGCCTCGGGGTTCCCTCCTGCCTTCCCCCAGCGCTGCCTTCCAGGCCCTATGTTTGCTCCTTACTTCAGCAAGGACACCAGAAAGCTCCTTAGAAAAGGCCCTGGGACTGTGGGACAGGAGCTCACTAATGGGTGTGGGAGTTAATGTGGGGCACAGGGCTGGGATGAGTACCTGTATTCAGTGTTTGCATCTGTGTATCCCATCCCCTGTGTATATTCTACACCTGTAAACCTCCATCAGGCACCAATGTATTTCCATAAAAGAGGACTTAAACCTTTCCCTTCAGGTTGGCTGAGGCCAGGGTTTGCCTGGGGAAGGTTCCAGGCCCTTGAGCCCCCACGGCCAGGGGCAGCAGGGGTCAGTGGGGTCCTGGAGTTTCCTGTCCCACAGAACACCTCACATATAACCAGGTTGTTTTTCAAGGCCTGTCCCCATGAGCCATGAACACCACAGCCTGGGGGTGTGAGCAGGAGCAAAGGGGATCTGGAAGGAAGCTCGTGCCATGAGGAGCTGAGCGGAGCAGCCGCTCCCACCAAAGCTTAGCGAAAAGCAGGAGTGAGCAGCGGTGGAAGGCAGCATGAAATAACACCTGGGGTGTGACCCCCTGACTGAGCCCACCGTGGAGCTCCAGGGCTTGGAAGAGGCATCTCCAGATGGGGTGTCCTGCACAGACCTCGTCCTGCCATGGGCTGGTTGCCCCTTCCCAACTGCTCCCAGATGTTTTCCTAACATTCACTAAGCACACAAAACAGTCCCAGCAAAGACGCAACTCTGCCGAAATGACTCTGGGAAGTTTAACACATGTTCAAATTGGTTTCTGCAGCCTGTTTCTTGGATTTTTTTGAAGCAACTAGACACTGTCAAGAGCAACAGGACAGGCTGGAGGGGTTCTCCCTTTCCTCCCCACCACATCCATTGGGATACTGTGCTCCACAGTCACTCTTTTCTTTCCTCTGGCACTGCAGGTGGAACAGGGCTGTGCTGAACTGCCTCACTTCACTGCCACCCCCCTGCACAACCTCTTCAGTTCCAGTTATTCCCACATCCCATGCAGGTATGGATGAAATTCCCTTTTTAACCAAGCACCCCCTCAGAATTTTGACAGAAAAGAAGCGACCCTTCACATTGGTTTGAATTTATCCCTACAAGCTGGTGGGTGGTGTTTTGTCTTTCCCTAATTCTTGAACCAAGATCATTGTCCCAAAGCTCTCTGCAGTGACCAGTGGCTCAGCTGTGAATGCCTTGGTCCAGCAGATTTATTAACCCTTGCAGTAAGCATTTCATCTCTTTTTAACTTTTCAAAGCTGTTAATTCATGATCATGGCTCTATAATTTCGTTGTTGGTTGCCTAGGGAACGGTGATCATGACCTGATTACATTTAATTTGGGCAGAGAAGAATCCATTCAGTAAACAGAAATACAGGGTGCTTTAAAAAGTCAAACCCCATAAAGACAAGAAAAACTGAGAAAAAACAGTGATGGGGAAAGGCAGATATAAAACTGTGGTAAAAGGTAATTCCTTAGGATCTATTTCAAGAGTCACCAAGCCAACACCAAACCCTACTTCAGTTGTGAATTGAAACTAATAATTAGCAATAAAGAAGAAAGCCATAATAAATGAATGAAAAGGGAAATAACAATTTTCTCTATTTCATAACTTGGTAATTTGCATCAGCAGGGTGAGCTGGGTGCCTGCAGTCACTCAGTAGGGAATCCTGTCTGTGGCATTGCACCTCCCAGCTTGTCTCAGCAGGATTTTGCTCCCTCATTCCTGCCTCGGGCGTTGAAAACCAGCCTGGATTTTGGGCTGCAAAGGGGTCTGGTTCCTGGAGAGCCTCTGGAGAGCAGGATGGAGCAGATCCCAAGGTCAGACTTTAGTGCTTTGAATCTTCAGGCTCTCAAATCCATGGGGAAGCGTGTGAGCTCCAGCTCTTTGGTGTCCCAGAGCGCTGTCAGGGGATGCAGGAATGGGGGAGGACTGGGGAGCTCCTGGGGCTGGTCCTGGGGCCAGTCCCAGGCTCTGGACTCTGTGGAAGTGCCACGGAACAGGGGTGCCCAACACAGCCTCAGCAGGGTAAGACCAGGGTGGGGAGACCTGGGCCTGATCAAAGGCTGAGGCAGAGCCAGCAACAGAGATCTTGTCCTTGTCCTCCTCAGCCAGGAGTGGGCTGGGGGCATCTGGACTTCCCCCAGCCCCTGCAAACCAACACTCTGTGTGTCCCCTTGTTCCCTCTGGATCCATTTCCATGCTGGATCCCCACAGTAGAGACAGCTTCCCACAGCGTGCTCATGCACCGTTTGGGAAGTGCTTCCTGCTGGGCTGAGCCAGCTCCAGCCCTGTGCTGTTCCTTGAGGCTCTGCTCTAGGGAATTAAAATGCTCTTCCCTTTGTTTGCCCCTCAGTGATCCCTTACAGGCCTCTTCCCTGCCAGGCTGTGATATGCACCCAGCCTGTCCCCCGCTGTTAATACACCTTAATGTCCTGAAGAGCTTTTGGAGAGAGATTTTGTCCAAGTTTTGCAAAAATTGCTGTTTATATTTACATATTCCATGTCATTCTAGCAAGAGTTCCTTCCTCCAGCCCACACTCGATGTTGCCTCAGTTCTGCATGTTCTTTCAATACATATCCTAGTGCCATTTTTTCTTCCATCTTCCAGCATATCTGACCAGTACCAAAGCCAGGCTTAAGAGTCCAGTGTTTCCTGGATCCTGTGGAGCCCTTCCTAGAAATCAGCCTGGCCTTTGCCACCTCCCCTCTGCTGTGGGGAAGGTCAGGAACCTGCTGCCTGTGTCCTGCTGCAGGGTCTGCCCTGAGCATGTGCCAGCCCAGTAGTTTTCCAGCAGAATTCCCACTTCTGATTCCTTTGCAAAAATACACTGCTGTTAATCCTTATGTGGTAAGCCAATTACACTCAAAATGTATTTTCATCTCAGTTAATGCTGTTTTTAGCTTTGTGGGGAATTTGCATCTTTCGCCATTTTCCTGGTTTGAAATAGATAATGCTAGTTTTTTGCAGAATTTTTATTTTATTCCATTTTAGTTTTACTACTTACTTATGTTTTGACTACCTTGCTTTCCTGTTAAACCATTCTCCTGCTGATTCACCATGGTATTTATTGCATTAGGATCTGTTTTGTAGGAGCCACACATCCACACAGGCTAGACAGTGTCTCCCTGTTGTTTGCAAGTATTTTCCTCTGTATTTCATTGAATCACAGAATACCAAACTGATTTGGGTTGGAAGGGACCTCAAAGTTCATCTTGTTCTAGGGCAGGGACACCTTCCACTATCCCAGGTTGCTCCAAGCCCCATCCAACCTGGCCTTGAACACTCCAGGGCTGGGGCAGCCACAGCTTCTCTGGGCAGCCTGTGCCAAGGCCTCCCCACCCTCACAGAGAAGGATTTAGCTCTACTCCCCTCACCCACCATCCTTCACTGCACCCTATGATGGTCTCATTTCAAGGACTGATAGCCCAGGTCTGTTGTTCTTTAGCCAGAGCTCATCTTTCCTGGAGATGCTCCCTCTATCTCCAAGGTTTCTCCAGTTTATTTCTAAGCCAAAATCTGTAGGCAGCAACCTGCCCGTCCTCACTGAGCAGCAGCACTGCCTGCCCTGCTCCAGCTTCCTCTACAGCAGTGGGTTAGGGGAATTTTTAACTCTCCCTTGGTCTTGGAAGACGGAAACATAACTTTTTTTTAGGAACAGACCCACCTCCCTGTGGCCTTTGTGTGCTGAGGGTGGTCTCAGAGAATCACAGAATATCCTGAGTTGGAAGGGACCCACAAGGATCATTGAGTCCATTCCTGGCCTGTGCTGCTGTGCCCTCCAGGAAAGTGCAGGCAGCTGGGGCTGCAACAAAGATCCCACCTCCTCCCTGCAGGGGTTCCCTTGGTGCCAGCTCAGTTATGTCTCCCTTATCTCACTCCTGGCTTCCCAGCACACTGCCAGCAGCCCCTTGGATTTAGGTGCTGACAGAGGTCTCTGATCTTGACAGAGGGCTCCAAGCTGCCATTTCGTCAACCTCTTAATGAAACCAGGATGTTCCTTTGCACTTACACACCTCTTGGATCCTGAAGTGAAGTGATGCCACTTGGGCAGCCGTGCTGCAGTCCTGGAGAGGCCTCAGGAGCCTTTCAGCTCCAAACTGCCAGTTTCGACCCAGCAAGAGGTCCTGGCTGTTGGCACACCCGTGGGAAGTGGCCCTGGGATCACCAGCTGTCTGTGGAGGGACAAGTGAGCTGCCCTTGGGCAGTGCAGGCAGAGCCTGTTTGTGTGTCCCAAGCCATGCTGCTTCCCCAGCTCCATCCACCACCACTCTGGCCACAGTGGGATGCTCTGGCACAGAAACAGTGGTAGGAGAAGTTTCCAGCCACATCTCCTCCATGCTGGTGGTGCAACAGGGCCTATCAAGGGCACTGAGCTCTGTAACCCCCAGCAAGGGCACAGGGGCAGAGCAGGGACATCCTGGGAACACTTTGCTGGAGGCTGGTGTGGGCAGAAACTGTGCCAGCTCTCTGCAGAGCACTGCCAGGGAAATCACACTTTGAGGAGAGAAGGGATTGGGAAGG